TCCTCCATCGTCCATCCTCCGTTCATTGAATCTGTGCCACCTTTCTCTCACCTCCTCCATCCATCCTCCCTCCTTTGAATCTGCACTACTCCCTCCCTTCTTCCCCCCTCCTCGACTTCCCGCCATCACGACCTCCTCCCACCTTCCTCCATCGTCCATTCTCCATTCATTGAATCTGCACCGCCTTTCTGTCCCCTCCTTCCTCCCTCCTCGAATTCCCATCATCACGACCTCCTCCTATCTCTCCTCCATCCGTCCTCCCTCCTTCGAATCTGCACCACCTTTCTCTCACCTCCTACCCCCTTTCTCCTTGCCCCCTCCTCAAGTTCCCGCTATCACAGCCTCCTCCCACCTTCCTCCATCGTCCATCCTCCGTTCATTGAATATGTACATCCGTCCTCCACAAACGACCTCCTTTCTCCTTCCTCGCTCCACCGTCTGCCATACCTCCCTCCTCCATCGTCCAAGGCAGAGTATCTGCATGGTTAAGTAAATGGAATATAGTGCATAGATCGCTAGGGTTTAATTACAAAGGAGTATCCTCCCTACATCGTTCCTCCTCCCTCCTTCTAACCTCCACCTTCGGCCACACTCCACCGTCTGCCATACTCTCCTCCTTGTGCGCACCTATATCCCACCTCCTTTCTCCTTCCTGCCTCCTCCTTCCACCAGACCTCCCTCCTCTTGCGTGACCTTTCTCCAGCCTCCTTTCTCCTTCCTCCCTCGTCCACCCTTTTTTGACTTTCCATCCCCCCGCCGCCCTGCCGTCTGGCCCCCTTGTGTTCCTTTTTGTTTTGGGCTTCATCACTCATTTCGAGCAAAGTATCACACCATCCTCCATCCTCCCACTTTCCACCATGCGATCATCCTCCATCCACCCTCCTTCTGCCCCTCCTCCTTCATACCTCTGTCGCCACCATTCTGCAATCCTGCGCCGCCATTCCTCCCCCATCCCTCCTCCCACCCCCCTCGCGGCTGACACACCCCACCAGGCCCAACAGAAACCGGTGGTGGGCAGGACCGATGGGGAGCTGCTGGAGCGGTTTTCTTTTTTCTCCCGTCACGTATGTTTTTTTTTTTGTTGTGCGAGTCCCCACCAGATATTGTGGTTTCGCGAAACTTCTTCAGGGGCACTCCTGTTTATTAATTTGGTTGGCATATGTGTGTTGGTTCACTGCATACTTCCTCTCTTTTTCGTTTTGTCCTTTTGCGCGCGGCCTTTTGCCTTGGGCAGTGCCTGTATTCAGGAGTTGACACATCCACGAATGCTCGAATAGGACGACACGGCGGAAGTCTATGGCAGTCCTGCACCCAGGCAGCACACGCAAAAAGGGTGGTGTATCTTTCCATGTTCCACCGAAAGGTTCATTCTGGAGCGAGGCCACAGTGACGCAATGTTCGAATACCAGGGCACATGGGGCAGAAGCACATTGACAGCCCGCTTTAGGGCCTGGGGTCTCGCTCCGCTACTCGCCAAATGTGCAGAATGACAATTAATCTTCCGCGAGAACATGCAAAGATACACCGCCATATCTTTTGGCTTTCTGCATGTGGTGAGTGGCGGAGTGAGGCCTATCGTCGGGCATTGTGTCTGGATGAACCATGACAAGTACATAAGCTGGCCCGCTCGAGGGGAATGTACACACGTCGGGGCATTTGCAAGTAAATGTGGAGAAGATGCAGTCGGCCGTAAATGTAGTCAGACTCATTTAGATAGAGCCAGTACGAGGACGCCCTGATAGAGCCAGTGTGAACATGCCCTGCACATTTTTTCCCCCTGCCAACGGCCAACCGTTTTGCAGCCGACCAGTACGGCCGACCGGTCTGCGGTCTGCCACCAGTCAGAAACAGCCATCCACTGATAGTTTTTCAAATCTGAGTTGGGGGCTGTACTGCGGTTGCTGAGTACAGCCCAAATTCGCTGAGAAACTTTGGGGGATGGGGGGGGGTACGGGGGTGTTAGGGGTGGGTATAGGCTGTCTCTTATACACATCTAGATGTGTATAAGAGACAGGTGTCCGTTCCATGCACCTACCTGCATAGCGATCCAGATAGGATTAGATTAGTCAAGTATAATGGTTTATCTGTTTGTCAGTGACTGGATGTGAAAATCGCAGACTGCATGACAGCCATAGCCATCTCTCCCCTACCTCTCTCTGCTCATTTCTAACCCTCNTGGGGGAGATGGTGGGGCTATTGAGGGTTGGGGGGGGGGGGGGGGTGGTTGGGGGCAGGTATGGGGGAGATGGTGGGGCTATTGAGGGTTACAGACTCCCAACCTTTTGCTTTTTTTTTTTTTTGCGGGGTGCAAACGACCCCCGACCGGTAGGTGCCAATGAAACGGTATTCACCAGTTAGCAGTAGCTGCTGCAGATCCCAGGGTTCGATCCCTAGACCCCAACTTTACCTGTGTACAGTACCTGTGTCGACCCGTAGAATTGAACCCGCGACCTGTGTATTTGTAATAGCTGATAGGTTGTCGTAGGGTCCATAGGTAGCA